CCCCCCGCAAAAAAAAAAAAAGAATCCTGAGAAAAGTTTCAAGTCAAAATAAGTGCATAACCAAAAAAGTGTCATATGACTATAAGATAGTATAAATATGTGAATATATATTCTTAAAATAACCATAGTGTATTATAAAAATAAAGCAAGAGTACATCAAAGTCTACTGGGATTCCAGAGTTTCTATGATGAATCACAATAAATATTTTTCTTAAAAACATCATCAAGTACATTATTTAAACAGTAATAATGGCCATTTTTAATGTTCAAAATTTTAAATGCATCTACTCATCTATACCCAAAAACAAACATTAATTAATTCCTCCAATGAACAAAGCAATTCAACAGTACATTCGAACTCTTATAAAAGGTCTACTGTGTAAAAGGCTGTGTTTCCCCAAAGTTCCACCAATTTTAATGCCCAGAATCAAAATACAGCTTAATGATCAAAAGTATGTTTTATTTTCTGTTCATAGTCATCTACAAAATTATTTTTATTATCTTGATCACATCAGGATACATTTAATTCCATCTCATCATTTTAAAAAATAGGAAAAGAAACATTCAACATTGGAGCACAGTTGAAATAAAGACAGGGCCGGTTGGCACAGATATATGCATGACTTTCCAGGGTGGAAAAACCATTAAGAGCAGCCACCAGAGAATCTCGTGACAAAAAGTGTGACCCGAATCTCATGCTGTGAATGTACTTCCACAAACCACTGAGCATGCCAGAATCATGCAGATCGGATCTCAGTTAACTACTTTTATTTGGATGGATTTTTTTTCTCTGTAAGACTGTACTTCATAAAACTGAGCTTTAAAAAGATAGTATAAACAGAAAATATATTTCAAGTGATTATTTTTTTTCCAGAAGTCAATTTGTCATTTCCCAGAGAGCTGGAGCAAGTGTTAAGGATCAGTGAGAAGAAAAATCAGTTTTCCGACTTTAGAATGATTTTTTTTTAACATGTCAGTGTCATTTAACTCACCGGTATTAGTGAGGGCTGATCTTTCAGAACTTGCTCACTGGCAATAAATATCTCTTGGTTCTTACAATATATGAGAGAAAAAATGAATATTTTACTTTTAAAGGGGAAGTGTGCACAAATATTTCCTGTGAATTTGACACAAATGCATGTAGCTACCTTATCCACTGGAAATACTTTACCCTAGAAAAACAAGCTAAAGAAAATATTTTTATAGATTGCATGGAGAATGTAGAATATAATAATAATTTGGGAAATGGTTTCAAAACAGTCATTTATATTACAAAATTAACTGTGCATAAAAATCTCTGATATTCTAGAAACCACTAATCTACTTGCAGGAAATTAAAAACTTCCATGATCATCAATTTAAATGTGACAACATAAAATTACAATCTTCTCTACTAGCTGGGGACAAGTGTTCCAGTCCCCAAATTGCCACTCACTGGTCAAATAGCACTGGGCCTATTACTTCAGTAACCTGGAGTTGAAAGCAAATGAAATCAGTAATGAACTTCATACAAAGGTGTCCAGCTTTTCAGACACTGTAACTTGAACATACAAGCTTGAAAAGAATACAATAACAATAAAAGCAAATAAATAGAAAAAAGAAACTACAATCCTTAAAACTACCATAGATTGCCAATTCAAGAGCCTACCTAGCCAAAAGATATCCTGGGAAATATTTATCATCAATCATCAGGAAAATGTCAATCAAAACCATAATGAGTTTGTTATCACGTCAACCCCTTAAAATGCTATACTCATAAAGATTTTTAAAAAGGAACAAATTCTGGAGAGAATATAAAGAGGAAGTCTTGTACATTATTGATGGGATGTAAATGAATAGAGCCAGTATGGAGCACATTATAAAGTTCCTCAAAATAGTAAAAATAGAACTGCCATATGATCTGGCAATCCCACCCCTAAATGTAGCGGAAGGAAAGGAAATCAGAATTTCTGCACTTGTGTTCACAGCACTGTTCACAACAGCCAACACACAGAATTGATATGTGTCTGTCAACAGATGCCTGGAGTTTTTAAGGGGTGTGTGTACACAAAAGAATACTACTCAGTCAAGAAAATAAAATCCTATGATCTGTGGCAGTGTCCAATGGAACCAGATAATTAGTGAAATAAGCTAGACACAAAAAGACACATAACTAGATGATTTTATTCTTCTGTGGAATCTAAAAAAGCTAATCTCATAGGAGCAGAGAAATCCAGTGCGATTATTCTCACTGGATCACTATGGTGTATATATGTGTAGTAAAGTACCCAAGAAGCTGGTTGAGCTACTGTATCCATTAAAAACAAAGTAAAACAAATTTGAACAGAACACATTTTTAAAACTTATTAATAATGCCTTCCATCACCTAAGCACCTACATTTTAACTCTTTAAAAAAATATGCTATTTTATGAAGGTTTTATTTCCAAAGAATGATGGCTTCTTTTTGGAAAACCAAGAGTTCTCTGGGTTGTTCTTGATCTTCCCACTCAGATCCCTGCATTCTTTGGCTTTGGCGATCCAAAGTCTGAGTTTCTCTGTAAGTGGTCTTTCCTCTAATTCTTCTTCATAGGCTGTGTGGGCAAATACACCTCAGCCTTTCCTCTATGCTCCTGATAATCAAATCTTCAAGTAGCTACTGCTATGTCTGCTGGTAACGCCCAAATTTGAATAAAAAATTCAAAGCTATGCTTCACTTTCCATTCCTCTAATCCCTTTCCCCCACCAAAAAAAAAACTGACCAGGTCCACTTTGGCAGTGGGCAGCAGAAGAGGGGACAGACAGGAGTTGGGAGAGGCTGCAGGAACACAGGGGTACAGCAAGCATGGCCAGCTGTAGGAACCAAGATACGACAAAATGCACAACTGCCATCACAGCACACATCTCTAGCTCCCTTTCTCTCAGTCTTTCCTGCACCATTGCCTTTTTTCTTCTCTATTGAAACAGAAGTTTACTATTAATTTGGATGAGACAGAATCAATATAAATAAATTTTAACCTTCTAATTGGAGTAACAAATTAATGAAGAATCCTAATTACACATTCAACATTTCATCATTAACTTGGAATGTTTATAACCACTCCAAACCTAGAAATGTGGTTTTAGATTTTTTTAAGGCACAATTAATAGATGAAGCATTTAATAGTAAGCGAGTCTGCCAAAGGGTCTGCCTTCCTTTGGCAAACGTCATATTTGCAGGGTGTGTGATTACACTAGGAACTATACTGAAGTGTGAGGAGACAGAAGGAGACACTTCTTATTCAGAATTTTCATCCTGCCTATTTTTCTGCCATTTTTACTCTTATTAAGTACTCTTCATTTTGGAAGGTGTAGTGGTTTTATGTGTGTTCCTCTTAATGTGTGTGGATTTCACTTGAAAAAAAACATATATTCCTTCCGACAAAATATCCTTGCAAGTTAGTTATTTTTGGTTCATCAATTTTTATTCTATAATTTAATAGCTACTAAACTACAAAACTAATACATCAACTTATGATTGTAGCACGTGGAACATCTCAAGAATATCACCAAGTAATGCTGGAGATATCACTGAACTCTGACTGGAGACAGAGGTGAGCGAACAAACAACTTCCGATGTTCTCGGGGGAGAGAGTATCATCACTGATTAAGTAAGTACTCACCACACTTAAGTTGACAGGAGTGTTTGCCTTTGGTACTGGGTGGTTATACAGTGACTTGAGAGTTTCATTCAAATCATTTTCCTGAAGCAAAGAAAAGTCCATTTAGTTAGTGAAATAAACAGTAAACTGCTGAGCACAGGCGGCTCATGCCTGTACTCCTAGCTACTCAAGAGGCTGACATGTGAGGATGGTGGTTGAAAAGTAGCCCTGGAAGAAAACTCCATGAGACTCTCATCTTCAACAAGCCACCCAAAAGCCAGCAATGGAGCTTTGGTGTAAGTGGTAGAGCACCAGCCTGGAGCAAAAAAGCTAAGGCCCCACGTTCAAGCCCCTGTTATCAGTGTGTGCACACACACATACACACACATGCAGATGCACGCACACACACACACACACAATTAAAGTGCCCTTGTATATTACTGGTGGGGATGTAAAATGTTCCAACCACTGTGGAAAATGCCATGGTGGTTCCTAAGAACCACATTATCCAGCATTTACACTTCCAGTTATCAGAGGAAAACCCTTAAAACCTGGTGGAGAGAGCTCTGCAACCAGCATCATACAAGTATTATTCACTGTAGCCAGAAGGTGGATGCAGGCTAAGTGTCTACTGAATAAACAGATTGCATAGCTTCAGTTAGACACATTATTCGGCCTTAAAAAGGAGATTCTGACCTATGCTACTATGGGGGAACCTTGACTGTTCCGTGCTAAGTAAAGTAAGCCAATGCCATAAGAACAAGCACTGTAATTCCACCCCAGGAAGAGGCACAGAGTCAGGCAGGCGCAGGAAAATGGTGGTGGCCAGGGCAGAGAGAAGAGAGGCATGGGCAGCCCTGGTGTTTTTCAAGATGAAGTTTCAGAGAAATGCAGTGGGACAGCTGAAGAATGTTAGAGATGCACCTAACACCACAGAGCCCCATGCAGAAAATAGCGACTACGGCACGTTTTCCATTGTGTCTATTTTAACACAGTAAGAAAAACATAACTTACCAGTTCCTTTACCAAGTAATCTGCCAGAGTATTTAGAAGCTTGTAATAGACTTCAAACCATGGCAGGTAACTGTTTTAAAAAAAAGTTATATAAATCTCTATGTATATATGTTCCTCAACACATAAAATTGATATATATATATATATATGTAGTCAAAATGCAGAATCAAGAAACAAGCCCTCAAACAACAAAATAAATAAAAACTAAAATACAATAAAAATAAACATCAAATTTACATACTGTTTCAAACAGGCTGATCATAAATAAGCAGAAAGAACTATACACCCATATTCTCTTCACCAGCACAAAATACTCACATGCTATCTTATCATTCATTATCATAAAACAAATTAGTCAAAGTTCTATCATGAAAGCTGTTTAGCATGAGCTTCTATTTTATACCAGTGCTATCTAAAATTATTTAATCCTATTTCATAGTAATCACTAATTGCACTCAGGATAAACATCACCCACCATGTGAATATATATATATACACATGTACACACACATACACACACATATGTGTGTATATACACGTATATACATACTAATTTTAAAGAGCTTTTAAGACACTATACAATGACACTGCACATGACCTATCGATGTTATGTAATTATAGGAAAAAAATTGAGAAATCTACCTCAGGAAGGTTTCTTCAAGTGAGCATGTATAGGTACTTATGTAAAGTATGAAGACACCTTAATTCCACTATGGAATCTAGCCTATGGGATCACCACTGTGCAGGTAAGCCTGTATTACAGGTGGCACAGGTAGTTCAGGTGGTCTGCCTGTCCACCTACTCATCATTATGCAGAATAACATGTATGCATGCCTGGGGCCCTGGGTTCGATTCCCCAGCACCACATAAGCAATAAGAAAAAAGCCGGAAGTGGCGCTATGGCACTAGCCTTGAACTGAAGAGTTGAGGGACAGCGCCCAGGCCCAGAGTTCAGGCCCCATGACAGGACCAAAAAAAAAAAAAAAATTATTGGGACTGGGAAGGTGGCTTAGTGGTAGAGCGCTTGCCTTGCATGCCTGAGGCCCTGGGTTCAATTCCTCAGCACCACATAAGCAAAAAGAAAAAAGCCGGAAGTGGCACTGTGGCTCAAGAGGTAGAGTGCTAGCCTTGAGCTGAAGAGCTGAGGGACAGCGCCCAGGCCCAGAGTTCAGGCCCCACAACCGGACCCCCCCAAAAAAAAAAAACAACAGAATAACATGTAATCACTCCTTTAAATATCACCGAACTTGCAGCTCTTGCTGGGAAACAGGAAATGTTTCTCTTGCCATTTCTCCCTACTTTAACTCTCATTTACTAAACTAGATCCTTTGTAAAACTTTCAAAACATATTAATGAGTTGGGCATGTAATACAAGTGAACTCTGTATTTGATCAATTCTTCAGAAATCATGTTTAAGTAGAATGGCAAGTTTCCAAGTAACTATTATTACAAATACCAGAAAGCCTATTCTAAAAAGTGTAAAACTACAAAAAGCTTTTAGACACCAAAACAAAACATTCTTTAAAGTTAAATTTAGTTTTGTTTGCTAAATCAAAGTATACTTCTATGAAAACTAAACAGTAAATCAGAAAATTATCTCCTTATTTAAAAACATGTAACATAACAGTGTATTAAAAACCAGCCCATACTTCCCCTCCAGAGAAACAGTAAATCAAAAATATACCACATTGCTGATTTTCAATTAACAGTCATTATTTCCCTCAAAGCATTAGTTTAATAAGCTAAGTTTTAAGAGAATACATTTTGATGTTCTTATTACATAATCGTTCATGGATGAGAATATAAGGATAAAAAATATTTAAGGAGCTGGGAAGGTGGCTCAGTGGTAGAGCGCTTGCCTTGCATGCATGAGGCCCTGGGTTCGATTCCTCAGCACCACATAAGCAAAAAGAAAAAAGCCAGAAGTGGTGCTGCGGCTCAAGGGGTAGAGCATTAGCCTTGAGCTGAAGAGCTGAGGGACAGCACCCAGGCCCAGAGTTCAGGCCCCACGACCAGACCCAAATATATCTATATCTGTATCTATATCTATCATAGATAGATATAGATATATATTTAAGACATCAGTGAATTGCACCTAGATAGTCTATCAGAATGTTTTCATGTAAAGTATGATTTATCTGTGATAATGAATGACACTTTTTGAATCAGTAGAAACCTAACATCTTAGCAAAAGTTGTAACAGTCAGGTAAACTACAGTATCTTTGCTCAGCAGAATAATATCATTGTTTAAAATGATGATTACAAATACTAGTACTATAAAGACACCTATCATATAAAAATGTATTTACCTAACTTTTGGTTGAATATATGCAATTACCTTTTGTGACTTCTGGAAATACCACTGGTAGAACATAGTAAAAAGGATATAAACAAAAAAGGACCAAATTCAAAATGTCACCAAATCTCTCAATTGTGTAAGAATTTTATCTGAAAATAGAACCATCTGCAAAAATGCACACTATAAATAGCATAACCTTTGTATGCTTATTTTTGTTTGGTTCTTAGGTAATTTTCAAACAATATGTGTTCAAAGCAGCAAATTAATTAAATTATATGCTTAAACTAATTGCCAATGAATTGAAAGGTTTTTCACTAAATCTTATACTTCCAAAGTTATTCCCAATCTGTTTTTTTTGTTCACAACCTACCACAAAAAGCCTAGAAAGTTTAAAGAAAAACCTATATTCAGAATGCTTAGAAGACTTGAATCTAATAATTTTCTTGAATAGTTAAACACTGTAAAGATAACTTCTTTTAACAAAAAGTAAATGTGCTTTAGACTTGTGAGTATACACAAATATAACAAATTATTCTGGAGGGCCAAGTATTTTAAAGTTTCATCGTATGATCACTTCCTTAATTTTCAACAAAGATGTAAGGCAGGCAGAAAACAGACATAATACAAATCCTTGCGCTCATTTTGCTGTGTAAGAGGATTTCCCCGACACTTGGACTTCCACTCCCGAGCTGATAAAACTTTTACATTCCGAAGTCAAAGGTTAAATAAAGGGAAGGAAATGGTTTTTGTCAAACAGTCAGGTAACCGCTAACACTGGATGATCAGCAGGAACCTAACAGAGTAATCAAATAAAAGCAAGGAAACTGCCTTTTTGGGTAGGAAAACGTCTGATGTCTAGAGGCTGTTTTTCTGTCTGGAAAATTGACACAAAAATGTGTAAAATTGAAACGTTCTGTTCCCTAAGGGATTTGCCCAAAGGAAGAGTGGGAAAGTGTCCAGGTTTGGGCTGAGTTAAAAGGGGCAAGGGGAACTACCAAGGCCGCGACATAAATCTGTCTTGCTTATTAGAATATTTCGTTTTGAACCCTTGGCGACAATTTTATAGTTGTAAAGCTACGTTAATCGAGTTAGGGGGGAAAAGGCATCTTGTGCACTTTTGCTAGCATATGAAAGCAATCCCCCCCACCAAAAAAAGTTAAGGCAATCCTGAGTACAAACAATGGGACAATTTAGTGATATCTCAGGGTATTTTTGAAGTCATGTCAGAGAAAGAATTAAATAAAACTTGTAACAATAACCCCCAAATAAGTAACAGTTTCCATATTACTCTGGAGTGAAATCTAACTTCTCTTCTAAAAAGGAAACAAAACTAATAGAAATTTAAGAAAGAACAAACAACAACATGTTGACCTATAAACATTTTTTAGCATAAGTCCAAGAAGGGGGAATAAAATAAACATTATTTTTCATGGCATGGTGCAGACAGTCTCACTTAGAACCTGAAGATAAACCTAAGTTAGCTGTAAACCTCCTAGTTCCTTCAATGGCTCACACACAGACCACTGCAGGAATAGTACTGGAAGTGACACAAGTCACAGAAGCAGAGAACCTGGTGCAGTAAGCAAACACTAAATGATGTTGCTGCTTATTAGCTTCATATTTAAGAGCCTAAGAGTCCTTGCTATTCAAAACTTCAACCAAAAAAGTTTATTTTTTGCTGGTGCTGATGAAAATGTTCTGTTTAGATTTTTGTAATAAAATCTTTTTAAATTCCTTCTATGTATTCACTACTTTTATTCTGACTACTCTTTTCCAAGAATCTAAAGTATTTTCAACTGTTTGGTATCAACGAAAACTTAAGAGACATAAATATTTTTCTTGTTAAAATTTGATATGAGTGCCAAGCACTGGTGGCTCATGCCTACAATCCAAGCTACCTAGGAGATTGAGATCTGAGGATCATGGTTTGAAGCCAACCCAGGCAGGAAACTCTATGAGACTTTTTACCTCCAATTAACCACCAAAAGCCTGAAATGAAGCTATGGCGCAAGTGATAGAACACTAGCCTTGAGCAAAGAAGCTCAGTGCCCAGGCCCTGAGTTCAACCCTAGGACCAATACACACACACACACACACACACACACACACACACACACTTTCATATCTATGAAACAAATTCACACATAAGCAGGTAATAAACAAGAAGATTCTGGGGGAAAGAATAACATTTACGAACAATAGGAAAACTGTAATGAGTAAGATATTACTGAGACAATGGAAGAAACACTTGTTAACTTTGCCCAAGAATCTTAATTCATTTGCTCCTGAGAATAAATATCAAAACCAATCCAGTATGATCTTGCTCCTGAGAATAAATACCAAAACCAATCCAGTATGATCTTGATGTACAATTCCTAAAAATACAGCAACTTCAATAAAGATATACTAATCTTATACAATCATAGCAAGGTATTAATTTTTTATATTCCTAAATCATAGCAGTTCAGGCAAAGATATAAGTAACTGATTAAATAACATAATCTGAAAGAAAATCATATTGGTATAAAAATCTCAATTTACAAGAAAGGAAAAAAGAAAAGCTACCAATTGTCAGATTAAACATGTACAAAAATTCAAGAAATGTATAAAGGATATAATGAAAGTCAATGGAACATTTCAATTCATGAATCACTTTAAATATATTCATCTATCTTACCAATTGTCATAAGTACTATAATTAATCCCTTATTTGATAAGCTATTTAAAAAATTGTAAATGTGTCTGAACAAGTCTTATGGAAACAAGACTCTTTACATTTCTTCTGTGAATAAATTTCTCCAGCACTTTGCTTGTTTTCCTATTGTTTTTATTTGTTTTATATATGTCTGGGTTTTTTTAATGTGCAGTACTAAACATTAAACCCAGGGCTTTTGTGCATGCTAGGCAGAAGCTCTACTTGACCTATGCCCCCTGCTCTTTGTTTGTTGTTTGTTTGTTTGTTTAATAGAGTCTCACCACTACCTTTCCCCAGGCTAGCCTTGAACTAAAACTCCTTCTGTCTCTTCCAAGAAGCTAGTTGGGCATTCTGGTGAGCACCACCATACTTGACCTCTGTTCTTTTTCTTAGTAATCTGTAGATGCTTATAAAGTATAGTTATTGACCTTCTGCTATATCGATTATCAACTTACCTCTACTAGTCAATTAATTTCTTTGTTAATATTTGTCAGCAAGCATAAGTTTACATCATCACCATTACACCACCCTGTCAGATTTCAGAATTTCATGGTAGGTACAAAAGGCTCTCACTACCAGCAATTTTCTTTATGCCAGAGGGATTTCTTTAATAGTATATTTAGTTTTAGGGTTCTGGTCAACAATGATAAGTTCTACATAAAGCAACGGAGAACCCAAGCCAGGTGGAAAACCGGGACTGGATTCCCACTCTTTGTCCTACGACAGTAACTCTGTGATGGATCAAAATCATTTGCTCAAAAATAACAAACACTGACGAGAGCTGGCATATAAATACTGACCTATCCACAGTCTTTTTCTGACTAAGGTGCTGATTTCTACTAATGCGTTCTTCACCGTCAGAACTAGATAGCTACCTGATTTACGGGCTACTCTCAAAGAACACCTCAGTACCCAGGCTCACAGCACAGACCGAGGTAAACCATTAAAACTTAAAGGGGAAATATTTTTCGAATTTACTAGAAAAAATAAGCTAGACAATGGAATTTTCCTCCATGATTTTTTTTCATGGAACTTTGATAACATGTCTATTTCTTACCTACCAGAAAGCACTGTCAAATGACCAAAAAAAAAAAAAAAAAAGAGGTATAAAAGGAAATGCACCTCACCCACTCTCCCCATTCCACAAGCCCCTCTCCACCACCCATCCAACCTCTCTACGGCTTGAAACATAGACTCTTCAATAATGTATATGTTTTAAATATCACTGCTAGGGAACCAAAAACACTGTGCTCTAAAAGAAAGAAGACATTCAGTTTGATCTAGAAAGCCATGACGCCGGGAAGATAGAAACCACCGTTTCTCCAGTTCCATCAACTGTTCTGAATCTATTAACATCTCACTGAAAGGTGCAGTGAGAAGCCATCAATTTTACACCCAGGGTTTCTCTGCACTATGAGAATTGACAGATTAAACGTAGCTCCTTCCTCTCAGCATTTCTGCAGGATCTAGGGTAGCTGCAGGGTAACAGTACAGAATCACCTGTTACCGATTATCTGCCTGGATTTGTGATGCACACTGCATTTCCAGGAGAGCTAACCTGTAGATGCCATCCTCTCCATGGTGACTCAGATCCAAGGTTCGCCCTCAGCTACCCACTGAATGGAGGAAGACGTGCTGGATGGACGGAAGTTGGTCAGGTGGGAACCGGTACCAGAGAGATCAAAGTATGGCTAAGCCCCTGCTACTTCACCCAGCTTGTTGCTGAAGTCAGAAGTGCAGGACCAAAGTAGCAGATGTCACCACTTCCCGATGAGAATTAGAAATAGCAACTTTTGAAAGTTTTAAAAAATCCAATCATCAAACAGACCCCTCAAACTTCTGCCAGCTTTCGGCTTTCCATCACCAGTCATTTTTGCTAAAGCAAAGTTGTAGTACAGTCAGACATGGCTCACATTTATTAAATTGAATATTTATATCCTGTTCAATATGTGCAACTCATACATTATTTGAGGTGATATGTTAATTTTCAAAAATAAATCCATAAAATCCAATCTTTAAAAGAGTTAGTTCTTTCAAGAAAAAGAATATATAATACTATATACATATATATAGTATATATTTATATATACTATGTTATTGCTAACTCATTACACCCAACTGGTTAATTAAATTATATGGAATACCAGGGAAATCACTTTTCAACATAACTTGAATTCAGAATGATGACAATGAAAGAAACAAATGCTGAGGGCTTCTTTTGTCTTGCTTATATTTTGGAGATCCCAAGCAGAACAAACACAAAAGACAGAGCTAATCTGTTGTGCAGGTACTTTTCTTTTGCTACTTTTTTTTTTTTAACTACTGTTACTTACCTCAGGATGCATAGACAAATTTTGCCTCCTGATGTGAGTCTGCAGAATCCGAATCTCTGCTTACTTTCTATGTCTGTCAGCACAAAGGTAAAGTGCTGTCCAACTTGGTTTTGAGACACCCTAAAACACAGCAACATCATGAAGCATTCAGCCTGGTGCGACATCTTTTTTTCAGAGAGACAAAGGCAACAAAATATTTCTCAATGGCATTGGTTCTACCTTCCCGATCACTTGGGTCCGGAAGCTAAAATTATGCTTTAAAACTAGAACAAGTATCAAATGTAAACTAAACCATGACTCAAACATCAAAATACCTTTGCTACATCTTGTAGGCTGGGCAACTTATTACTTACTAATTCATTACCAGGAAACTGGAAGGAGTGTACCATAAGTTTCATAAGTCTAAAAGTACTCATTGATATATTTTTTTTTCTGTTTTGGTCGGTCGTGTGGCTTGAACTCTGGGCATGGGGGCTGTCCCTGTGCTCTTCAGCTCAAGGCGAGCGCTCTACCACTTGAGCCACAGCGCCACTTCCGGTTTTCTAGTGGTTTATTGGAGATAAGAGTCTCACAGACTTTCCTGCCTGGGCTGGCTTTGAACCGCAATCCTCAGATCTCAGTCTCCTGAATGGCTAGGACTACAGGCGTGAGCCTCCAGTGCCTGGCAATATATTGTTTTAAATCTGAAGATAATATTCCCCAGTCTTCAGAAGAAGCCACCCATGGCTGCGCCCTTGTACTCAACTGCAGCCTCTCTTTTCCAAATTAAGGTTTTTTGTTTTTTAATTATTAATTGCCTAGACAGCAAATCAAGTTGTTTTAGAATCTAATGGCAGCCACCAACAGCCACTGCAGTTGCTTGGCCTGTTGACCCAAGGAAGCACCACACAAACCCTATCGCTATCGTTCTTCTTAACATTCTCTTTTAAAATTTTGAATATACTAAAGAACAATTTCTCAGTGCAAATAAGAAGACAGTCTCTACCGAAGAAGCATACTAGCTAATCTGTAAGGAATTTTTGCTTAAGAATCATAATACTATAACGGGTCATATTGCACTATAAGGGATAATACAAATCACTAGATAAATAATATTTCCTTCTATTTCAAACATATGAATATACTTTCTGGAACTGTCCTGTAACCTAGGCATTAGATAAATGTAATATAACTTCTAGTTCCTTTCCCAAAGTAAAATAGCCATAACACCCATACACTTCAGGTTGAAAAATAGCCATATGGATTTTTAAAAGAGAAATAAAGTACTACCAAGGTACCAATACAAACAAATTACTCTAACAAAAAAAAGTGCTGGATATTTAACAAATATAAGAAGACAGTCTTTAAAAAGTTTTATAAATTTTACTATGTTTATATAAGCTTTGTAAACTTCAAATAAAACTCCCAGTAACTGATGTGGCCTTTAGTGCTCAAGTTTTACAACTCTCTTTCATAGCTTTTCTTCCCCTATTTCATTCTTACGATTGATTTGGAAACTGTAATACAGGGGGTGAGCAAGGGGCATGGGTTGTCTCCCCAGAAATGAGGTAAAACAAGGGGTGTCATTTGTCAGGGTCAGACAGTTTATTTTTAATATAGTAAAACTTTAGAGTCTTACTAATCCTTTGCAAAGTATTTTCCTAGAAAAAGAATTTTCTTAAAAAAAAAAAAGAAAACAAACCTATCACACTCTTAAGAAAACTGATAATAGGGTGTGAAAATCACATGACATACAATAAATGACCTGTTATTATGCTCAGAGGGCTATGTATTCTACTGAATTCCAACTGCAGAATGTAGTTTGTTCCGTATCTGTGCAGTGAAATATTAACGTAATAATGTTTCCCACACTGCCTTCAGGAAGATCTCCTGTAGCCTCACCCAGTGCCGCACGCTTCTATGGAGGAAGCCGGCTGGCCCAGGAGATCACTAACCATGACAGGCCCAACGCTACGCAGATGGCCTCTCCTATTAGAAGGCACGAGATCGAAAACAGGCTCTCTGCATCTCACTTTCAAAGGCATCCTTTGAAGGCTCTGCTGCAAGATGCATATTTTTCTGCAACCACTTAAGATGCATACACAAAGAATACAAAAAAACAACGGAACCTGCTGCTGCTACCGGGCTAAGACTCCTAGCTGACCACAGTGGAGAAAAAGATACACTGGTCCAGTAGGCTTCCTCATTATTTAATTGTGAATCTCTAGTCTCCAGTGCTTCTCTGGAAACTGTAAGGATAGGGTATTATTTCATTTTGTAAAAATAAACAACAAAAACACGCAATCATTTGTAGAGAATTCGCTAAGATGGACTAAACTTATTTTCACTCCGGACGCATACCATACCTTTCCACGTCAAAGGGGAAACAGAACTTTGGCACACTCTGCAACACTTCCTACAAATGCAATGCAAAATAAAGAAGATACTTTAGCATATGTTTTTAAAGATGCAGTTAAAACTTTTTAAAAGACATTTTCTAAGAGAAGGGGGCGGGGGGGAGGGGGGAATAGAGGGGTAGTTGTTCTTTCGTTGTTCCTTTAAGCGAACTAGCACAGGTTCCTAGACTAAAATAATTGATTATTAAAAAGGAATTAAGTTTGTCTTGGGCAGATTGTACAGACAATGCTGCAGAGGCCCCAGGAGGGAGCAGCCTGGCCTGAAGGGTATTAACACCTTCGCATCCCCGCTGGGGTAGCCTTCAACAAGGCCATATGGATTTTACAAGAAGCACCACACCATATGGAGAAGCTCCGTCTGCTGCTACTTGTACCACAGGCTAGCCATTGGGACTTCTGACAGATCCTGGCTCAAAAATATAAATGTTGTTTCAATTAAAATGCAGGCAGAGAAAAGGGAAGGAGGTTGGCAGCAGAATGAATTACTGAGGGGTAAAATAACTCTCCGTGGCCCATACTCCAATAGTTTTTGTTCACATTTTTTTAAAAGACTATAGTGTAAGAAAAATAATATGTCTCAACATTTGATACGGTTTTCTTTTTCTAAATACTCTTAGAAATGTAAATATTGTTTAAAAAAGTAACCCTTTAAGCTAAACATAGCTCACTACTATTCTGTGTATTTTCCTTTAAATTTTACTTCATACTACAATCAGGGTTTCAATTAAACCTAAAACAAATTCTGATTTTAAAACCTTCAATGGCAATATAGTCATTATAATTTATTTTTAGATATCATTTGTATTAATAATTACAATAAAATGCAAACAAACAGGCACTTGACAGAAAATAGAAAAAAACGTATTTTGTTGTACCCCCCCCAAAAAAAAACAGTTTAAAATGGAAACCTGGTTCAAAAGTTGTACTAAATGCAACTTCCTACTAATTCAAAGCCAAGTGATCTTACAAGACAAGGCAGACTGATGAAGATGTTTAATATTTAAAAGCTCACAGAGCAAGTACCTTGATATTATAACCAATTAATCTCTCCTACTCACTCAAAATTGTTTTAGCTATCACCTCTTTATCAATACAACTTATACTTTTAGAATCACCAATATCTGAATATTCAAACTCTCTATATAAACACAGCGCTGAGTTTTTTAAAGAGGAATTGCTCAAATGCTTTTAAAATGTACACTGCATTTAGCAATTAAGAGATAAAAACACTGGAATCCCAATAGCAATGCCTAAGAGAGCTTCAGGAGCATGAGCTCACAGAAGCAAGAAGAAAAGCAATCTGCGAAAAGCCACCTCCCACCCGAGGGCAGGCCCCCAGGTTTGCTTGTGAACCTGAGTCTTTAGAAGGCTGAGCACAAACTGCATTTAGAGAAAGTTTTGAGTTTTGTTTTTTTTTTTTTACTATGGATAATATTGTCACACGTGACGAAGGGGAGGGTCACTAAAATTTGAAATCAATTACAGAAACACAGTTCCATGCAAATGGGAAGAGTTGTTTGTCACTTGACTGGTGCTCAGTCTTTATCATGGGTTGCAGAATAAGGCCATTCGTCATATGTACTACCTATCCGAGTGCTGTTCAGACATCTTCCTATGAAACTGTGCCAACAAAGACTCTGCAAACGGCAATGTCTACCTCTAAACATACCCAAACCAGTCCTATGCCCCACATCAATGCGGAGACTTAAATTAAGAAGAAAGCTTCCCTATCTTGCTCTCGCACCTCCCTCCTTGTACACACGCCTGCACCACAGTCTCAGCTCGCTTCCCAACTGGCAGCAGCAACCCTCAGGGGACAGGTCTTTAAACCTCCGCACTCTTTAAAATTCAGCCAGCCAGCAGGTCTATAGACTAGTGTATAAACAGTATAGACCAAAAAAGAAAAAAAAGAATCCTCTCTGAGCTTATGTCAGTGACAAAGCAGCGCCACAGTTCACTGTTTCTCCCCTGACAGTGGAAGCAGGCTTTACACAGATCAATAGCCGGAAGTCCTACCTAGCTCCCAGGACTCGGTTTTCTTCCTTAATTACAGGTGCTATGCAAACTGAAGTTAAAAAAGGAAAAGAAAGAGTTGCAGGGGAGAATAAAATGTATTCAAATATCTTTCTTAACATCAGCATTAAAAATTATACTTCTATGCTTGCCAAAGAAAAAGGTGTTCATAAAGGCTAGTATACACACACACACACACACGCACGCACGCACACACACACACACACACACACACACACACACACACCCCACACACACACCTAGATCTGTAATCACAGACTACATGAAAGGGTTAAGATAATTTCTTTACCCAAGAAGATTTATTTGAGTTCCAGAATCTTCCTTACTCTCCAAAATATACTTATGCAAAAAGTACATACTGACACATTAAATGACAGAAATAACACAAATGAATGAAATAGGAAACAAAATTATGAATAGTGAAATATAAGGGCAACAGATACTTCTGCATGCTCTAAAACAAGGCAACCCCATCACATTAATAACTAGACACAAGAACTGATGAAAATGTATATTGCTTTCTGACCCATATCAATAAGTTGATCTTATGAGAAAAAAGAGGAAATGGCTAAGAAATAGTTAAAATGGTTTAAATGGTGTGCTCTTCTTTGTGATTACCTCTAAGCACTAGAAACTGATGGACAAAACATGCACGTATTACCTATTTTCACTTGTAGATATTGAAACACTTAAAAATGAGCACCCACTGGGCACCAGGGGCTCACACCCATAATCCTAGCTACTCAGGAGGCTGAGATCTGAAGAGAGTGGTTCAAAGCCAGCCCAGGCAGGAAAGTCCAATTAACCACCACAAAACCAGAAGTGGCATTAAGGCTCAAAGTGGAAAGCTCTTTTTGCTTAACAGCAGCACTCAGGCCCTGAGGTCAAGCTACACACCAACCAACCAACCACCACCACCAACAAAAAAGCATCCAACAGTTATTTAAATCAAGGTAAGTAGAAGGTAAGTAAGAAAACTCATCAGGTTTTACATGTGTGAACTGATGGGCCACCGTGGCTATGTGGGAAGGGTGTTAGAAGGCAACAGACCTGACTTTCACACCTGGGAGATCTCGGGGTTGTTTATTAGCAGAGGCGTGGGCAGGGGACATGGCTAGCACAAAGGCTCTGGTGCCACATTTGCATTCAAATTCTCTCTCAGACGGCACTCCCTCTGCCAAACGGAGCAAACACTGAGTGCCTACCTCTTACAATCAAAACAGGGCTCACTTGGCCATGTAGATGGGAACCAAGTAAATCCACATAAAATGATTAGAGCTTATTATACCCCATCTCTCTCTCTCTCTCTTTCACACACACACACACACACACACACTAGTTAGCTAGTATATTCAAAACTTGCTCTAACAACTCCTATCAGAGGAATTCTAAAAAAGCCGTTTATCTATTCAACAAGTATCTACTGAATAATAACTATGACATTAGATATTAGCATTGTCTTCTGTTCCCAAAACTTTACATACTTCTAAAATTGTTTAAAGCAGTTTGGCTCATACCTGTAGTCCTAGCTACTCAATCCTAGTTACTCCTAAACAAGATCTGAAGATCCTGGTTCAAAGTCAGCCATGGCAGGAAAGTCTGTGAGACTCTTATCCACCAAAAAGCCGAAGTGGAGGTATGGCTCAAGGGATAGAACATAAATGCCAAACAAGACCACAAGGCCCTGAGTTCAAGCCCCAGTATCTGTGTGCATGCGTGTGGGTACACATACACACACACACACACACACATATACAAAGCTTATTAAATAACCTACTTCCTTTAAAGACTTTTCAGACCTGTAATACAGCTGTGTATATGGGTATACACGTGGACCCACACATAGCTGTAGATTTGATACATTAACTACTACGTAACCAAGCACAACAGAAGCAAGCAAGCATTGTCCTATAACATACACATTTAATTATCTGAATTTGTACAGGAAACTTTCTTTGGGCTATCATATTTGCTATTTGTTTTATCGAAAAATATTGTGGAAGTTCACTTCATTCACATACTTATCCGTCAGTCCACTTGATAATGACTAATTACCCATCTATGCAAAGCAGTGGCCAAGTCAAGATTGAAGTGCTTCCTGCTCCCTCTTAAAATCTCAAATGAGCTGTTTCCTTCAGCGGTCTTGGCAGGAGTTCCTGCCGGAAGTGACTATGAAGTCACAGCCTCCCTCTCTACACTGCTGTCATGCACGGTCCCCTCGCTTTTCCTCAGCCTATTAGGCATTTTTTTCCTCAGCCTTAACGATCACCAGACCCTGGAGCCACAGTATTTCTCTAGCTTTTCATATCTGGATCTCATGCAGATAACCTTTCTGTCATGCAAGATTCATGAAAACACTTCCCATTTACTTCCCAAACCTTAAATAAAACTGATATTTGTGCAGTCGAAGGCCCACAGAGATTAGAGTGGCAGACAAGTAATTTACCATTACCCTTTTTCTCCAGTCCTGCCTTAAACCTTATTCAAAACTATCACTAGAATGGCTTATATAGTAAATCTTGTAATAACCGGATGGGAATCTTGTGGTTTGTCGGAGGTGTTTGAAGAAATAGTAGGACTTTCACATTCAGAGACTAATTCTGGGACTTCATGCTACAAGGTATCTGGAGAGTCTATCTTCACATGGCTCATACTCTGGGAGCAATGACATAATTACTATATTTCTTGGAAACTGTAATATCACCTAGCACAAATGAGAATCATACAGCCAGATGTGGCGTGAAGCCTAATCCCAGCACTTAGGAGGCCAGGTAGGAGGGTCAGAAATTTGGGGTGATATGAAACTGCATAGGAAGACCATATTCCAAAAGAAAGAAAGAAAAGAAGATCAAGGTAAATGTTTGCAGTCTGAAACAAAGACATAACTGCTTGTCTGTGCACCTAGTTGGAGATTTTTGTCTGGAGTAATTAAATTTATGACATAATTACAGAAACTAAACCGTTC